ATTCAAAATTTTAGTCTTAGACAAAATTTAGAATAAAAAGTCTAAATCATGAAATAAACGATTATTAAAAAACATTATAAATATCCCACAAATCCAGGTATTAATTAATAGATAATGTCCGTAAATAATCTAACATGATAAAAAGACAATAAAATCCTTTAATATAAAGAAATTTAAAAAAAAGGAAAAAATCTGATTGGCCAAATATTGGTTGCAAAATTTGTATAATTGGGTAGATTTACATTTGATCCCTTCTTTATATATTTTTAAAAAAAGATATTTTAATTAATTGACTAAATTACCTTAATGAGTTGGGAGTTAACAAAATTAGAGAAGAGACTCACTTGTAACAAAATACAAACCACATAGACAAACAATGTCATTGATAAACTGGTATAATAGTACAAACTTTGCAAATCAATCTTAACCATCTATCTAATCTAATGAATATTTGATTCAATGAATATTTTGGTTATTTTCTAATATAAAGCGTTGATTACAATAACTTAACTTTGATAATCTTTTATAAATATCTATCAAATAAATGAACCATCATTATTTTCATAAATATCTCAATCAGTTGGTTTGGATGGTTCGTATTAATGGTCGGGTTTGTAAAATAAACTCCTCTCTCTCTCTCTCTCTCTATATATATATATATATATATATATATATATGTGTGTGTGTGTGTGTGTGTGTGTGCGTGTGTGTGTGTATAAAGGGGAGGGATATTTTGCAAACTAGACCATTTGTACAAACCGTGAAAACCGTTGATTTCATTGTTTATTTTAGTGAATTTTTTTCATGAAATTGTTTAATATGATGAAATTGTTTTTCTATTAATTTTAATAAACAAATTTCATCAAGAAAGAGAAATATATGAAACATTTTAACTTTACATAGAAACAAAAATATATGAAACATTTTCATCAGAATTATTTGAATCAATTGCACCATATTAAACAATTTCATGATTTTTTGTGATAACCGGTTATTCGGATATAAAGTTCGGGGTAGTTTTTGAATTATGGTGGTAACTTAAAGGGGTTGACTTGGTTAAATGTTTAAACTTTTATAAAAACATTCCACTGCCTCAATTTTTTAATATAGTTATGATGAGATATTTTAAATTATCTCATAAGGGTTTTGATAAAAGTTGGTGAGCTTGGTGGTAAAAGAAAGGAGGCTTCCTGTGTGTGTACTTTGAGCTTGAGAAATCAGAATCGAGAAGAGCAAGCAAGTAAAAACAATTTTTTGTGATTCTTGTCCTAGATTATTTGTTGTTGTTATCTGCATCTTCATATCTCGTGATCATAAGGTGAGTTATTTACAAAAACTCCTTATTTGGTAATTTGGGAAATAGAACCGTATGGTTCTCTATATGAGAAGATGTTTATAAAACTATTTCTGGATACTATAATTAGCATGATTGTGAGTTTTTGATATGTGTATATCATGTGAAGTGTTATAACCAGGTTTTAGACAACCTGAGTTGAGGTAATATAAGTACGACTTATCACCCACAAACAGATGGACAAAGTGAAAGAACCATCCAAACTCTCGAAGATATGTTGAGATCTTGTGTCATCGACTTCAGGGGATCATGGAAAGAACATTTGCCGTTGATAGAATTCGCCTACAATAATAGTTATCACTCCAGCATCCAAGCGGCAGCTTATGAAGTCTTATATGGAAGAAAATGTCGAACGCCGTTATGTTGGAATGAGGTAGGTGATGACCATGATCGTCATGAGGGGGAGAAGAAAGCTGAGCCAAAGAAGTCTTCTGCCAGACCACTCAAGATAGTGGACTCTACATCTGCCTTGTTCTCAAAAGGCAAGGAAAAGGCACCAGAGCCTAAAGGCAAAGGCAAAGGCAAAGCTGTGGAGGAGACACCATAGAAGGTGTCGTCAAGCTCAGAGACTCCACAACAAATAAATGAAGAGGAGTACAGCGACCCAACGCTCATTCAAGCATTAAAGGTGTCTCTGGCAGGGGCTCAAGCAAGAAAGGGTAAAGGTCCCATCCCCAGAGCAGGAGAAGGCTCTTCATCAAAATTCCCATAAGTCCAAGGAGAAACGTCCACGGGTACGTTCGACGCTCTACAAGGAACCGTCAAACCTATCCTTGCAGAAGGGTCAACCCAGAGGCTAATACTTGAAGAAGAGGAAGCCAAAGTGCCAGAGTCCGCCACAGTAGGAAGGGTTTCTGAGATATTCGAATCAATGAGCAAGATTCCCATGCAACAAGTACGCACAGAGCCTGTTACTACTGTGGAAGAGATTCTGATGTGGAGATATTCTGCAGTGGACACAGAGCCCCCCTATGATCCAGAGCTCACAGGTATTCCTTCTGCTGATGCCAAGTTCCAGTTCTCTAAGCTCACCAGGCAATGTGAGCAAGTCTTCTCAGAGCACGTGATTGTGTCACTTGAAACAATTTCTCCAAGGACCCTGCTGAAGAGGACGGTGTTCTATGCTCAATACGTTGTGAAGAGGAATGACGGCAACCTGTACACGTTCACAGATGCTGACCTCCACAACCTTTGTGTATTTGATTTGATCTTCTTGCACAAAATACTCAACAAATACATGGAGAGGAGGTCAAGCTATGCTCTGTCGCTTAAAAGGCTTATCGAGGTCATGCGTGCACAAGTGAAGTACTACAGCCAGAAGGACTTCGAGATAGCAATGAGGTTAGCCTAGTCAGATCTTAAGATCACCCCTCCAAACAACATGCCAGAATGGATACTTAGGTGTCATCCAAACTCCATTGTTCACAACCCTGTTTTTGGGTTTGTGTTCTTGGATAAGGATAACATCCTAAGGTTCTTCATTCCGACAGAAGCGAACAAATACTCCACAGAGACCCTTGAATGGATATTCAACAAAGCAGTGGCAGAGGTGAACAAAGGGCATCTAAGGAAGGGTGAAGTGTCTGGCATTCTAGAGGCTATCAAAGTACAAGTCAACTTCAGAGAATAGATCTTCAATGTCTACAGAACCATCAAGACTGACATGCTATATGCCGTAGACGACTATCCAGACTCTGTGGTTGGATAAACTTCTGTAATAGTTTTGGCCTAAGCAACACATTTTTGTAATTCCTTCTTTATGTAATTCTTTTCAGAGATGAATTTTTATCTCCTCTTGTAATTTTTTCAATTAAGTCATTTCTTGCTTTAAATTGTCAATTTTTACTTTTTTATACTTAGGGGGAGATTGTTAGCTCTCATATTTCATTTAATGTAAGAGTATGAAAAAGTATTACTGCAAGTGTTGACAGAAGGGTTCTACCACAGAAAACCACAAAGGACCAACAACAGAAGATATACAAAAGCGTACAAGTCAAGATTGACAGAACCTCTGTTGTCTCTCACAGAGGTTCTGGAAAATGGTCTTCTGTTATCAAGAGCTTACAAGTCATATCCAGCAGAGCCTCTGGGATGTCTCACAGAGGGTCTGCAGTCTATCTTCTGCGAAGAATCACTTCTTACTGTTTTACTTAGGTTTGTTAGCTGCACGTGCTTCTCACGTGACTATGTTTGTAATCTGCTTTATTTGAACGGCTTAGATCATTTCACTTGTCTAGGTCATGTCAGAAAAGCCGTTAGGAACTAGTATAAATAGCA